CCTTGGCCAAGGCTGACATTTTCATTGTAAGTTCCTTGGGAGCAGGACCTGTATTATTTTATTGTATTGTATTTACTATGCGATTATTAAAAAAATAACTTTTTTCCAAAATAAAATTACCCTGCAGAGGCAAGCCACAAGAGCCGGTGTGGTGTAGTGGTTAGAGTGTCAAAGTAGGATCTGGGAGAGCCGGGCTTGAGTCACCACTCTGCCATGGAAGCTTGCTGGGTGACCTCGGACCAGTCACACACTCTCAGCCTAACCTACCTCACAGGGATGTTGTGAGGATAAAATGGAGGAGAGGAAAATGGTGTAAGCTGCTTTGGATCCCCACTGGGGAGAAAGGTGGAGTATAAATGCAGTAAAAAAATAATTTTAAAAATATAACTTGGGGGATGACTCACACCAGTATATGCTTTGCTTAACTCACCCCTGGTCTACCGCTCTTAAAACAAAGGAATTGGTATGTACTTTTTTCTCCAGTGATGTGAGTGGAGAGGAACAGCTTTGACGTCTGTGAGTCACCACCTGGTGTTGCAAGCCACTGAGCATGGATGTGTGAGTTCACCATTAGCAGTTCCCGTGGCACCTCAAGGCCGCTGTTGTGAGGCACTTGGCCTCCTGGTGAGAAGTACACAGGGGATGTTAGATCATGGGCTCTGTCCTGTTGCCCTAGAAGCTGGAGGGAGTAGTTAGGGTCACAAGGGGCAGCTGTGGCATGTTTAGGAGGTTCAAATGGCATTAAAGTAGCACCTGGACTTTGGGAGCAGTTAATTTGAACCAACCTGAGCCATTTTGAAAGCTCCCTTTCATCCTCTTTCCTCTTCCTGTCCTGTGTCCCACTTCCTCTCCAGTCTTTAATTTCTGCTTCACAATCTTCCTCTTAGCTGTTTCTTCCATTCACAAAGAGACTTAGGTGCTGTTTTTCTAGCAGAAAGCCTGGGTGTATATCTGAATAAATTAAATTGGACCTGTTTATTATGTCAATCCTCAGTGGATCCAGACTGTTACACAGAGTGGCTCAGAGAGGCCCATCTGGTTCCGGCTTAGGCGGAGCAGCAGGAAGTGTCTCAAAGAAGCAGCTCTGTCTAGGACTGGGGATGGGGTAGAGTTTGTGGTGGGGGGGTGGCTTAGTTGGCTGAGGGGTGAGGTGCTGTTGGCCTCTCTGTGCTCATCTTAGTCTGTTTGGAGGAGCAGAGATCTGGAGGTGGGTTGTCCCTGCCCATGTGAGGCTTGTGATGGTTGGCTGCTCTGGGTTCCCCCCTCACAAAAGCATTGCTGCTGCTTGGAGAAGCAACCTACATTCTGTGATGACTGCAAGGACGGGAGACCGATCATCCCACGGTGCTTCATCAGCTAAGGTGGGGGATGTAAACAGTCCCCCTTGTTGTCAACGTGGCCCCCATAGCAGGCTTACCTTTCGAACAAAGCTGGAGCTGGCAAATCTGCAGCGAGCGGCACTTGGGCAGCTGGATCTTGAGGAGCTGCCACACGAGCTGAGCTATCTGGGAGGACAAAAGGAGGTGTGTCATGCCCACCCCTTTCCAGTAGTCCACCCCTGGCTTTGTGAGCAGCGCAGGCTCTGGAAATTGTGAGCTCATGGATTCTGTTCTGCTAAGGTTGAGTACTCAGCCTTCCAGTGTGCACAATGCAGCCTTATCCGCTGCTCTTCATGCTCCCTGCTTGCTCCACTGCTGCACACAGACAGGGCTTTCAGGCCCAGATGAATGGCAAACGTCTGCCCCAGCATCTTCCGTGGGGGATTCCGAGCGGCAACATACTTATTCACAACTTCCGCCCGTCAAGGTCCAGCAAAGAGCTCCATTGAGCCCCAGAGATTGGGACACGGAGCAACTGAGGCGTGGGGGGGAGGAGATGCAGATATACTTTGTAAGGATATCCTGTCTCTTTCTTGAGGCTCTTCGCCTCTACGTGTTTTCAAGAACAGTGTCCGAAGTTATAACCATACTGTTGCAAGAAAACAACAAAGAATCTTGTGTCACCTTAAAGCCTGACAGATTTATTATGGCAGAAGCTTTCACAAACCAGAACCTGCTTTATCAAGTGCAACGCTATCCACAAAAGCATGCACTACAATAAATCTGTTAGTCATTAACACAGGATTCTTTGTTGGTTTTATTTCAGTATTCCTAGCATTGCTACAGCTCTAGACTTTGTCTGTTGTTGCAAATTGCCAACACTTTTGGCATTTGAACCCCTGGACTTTGTGGAAGATCCTGAGAACATTTTCCTGGAAGTAAATCCCACAGAATACACCTGAGTAGCATTCTGGGTACACCTGTTTAGGACTAGCTCTCTCAATGAGAAACTTTTAGGAACAGAGTTCAAAAATTTCAGAACATGGAAGGTAGGACTGGCCACTTGGCAAAGAAATGGCAACATCCCCAAGGGTTATGTCTGGCTCTCATAATTCAGTTGAAATCAAGAAGCTAGGTGGGAGGAGGAGACATGGGTTGAATCCTCAAGCCATGCAGGTGTGGGGAGCAGCAGGTGAGAAGCAGACAGAACCTGCCTTGACAGTAGCCAAGGTATATGTATGGCCAAGATGGATCTTTGAAGCTCTGACTCTGAGGAAACTTTCTTTCGTTTGCTGCTCCATTGCTTTTCTATTAAACAAATGCCTAAAATGTACATCAGCTGTAAAACGCCAGCCAGGAATCCATTTGATAATGGCTCTTCTCTATGCATTTCCTGGCTATTATAGATATTACCCACTGGGCTATAAAGACAAAACCAAAACGAATAAGCAGTTAATTTTTTTAAAAAAACCACAAACAAAATACTAGCATGATATAGCTAGGGCAGGCTTCTCTTAAACGCATATTCCGAAGTTGTGGTGCCACTTCCGAGAAGGCCCTGTTCAGAGCACTCACTGATAGATCTTCATGTGGCATGGAGACTTCCAGTGTGGAGCTTAATGGGGGAGGGTTTCATTTGAGACAGGTGCATGCTGAAACACACTTTATTGTTCTGTGACCATTATTTCTGTAGTTTTTCCTGCGTGCTCAAAAATTACATAATTAGTGCCTTTTCTCCTGTTCTCCAAGGACATAGTTAGCTATTCTGCCTTTTCAGTTGGGTGTTGTTTGCTTGTTTGTTTCCCTCTGAAACTGAGTTTAGGTAAAAGTCAGACGCTTGCTAAAGACAGATGAGAAGAAAAGGGAGTAGGAAGAGGCCTCCCTTCTGCACCATGGCTTGGCTGTTCATTAGTTCTGTGGCCCTGCTGTTGCTGTGTCCTGTCATCTGAGCCTGTTCTCTGAGCTTAGCATCTGAAACAGAAGGGTAGTCCTTTGCTCTACTGGAGCGGGGGTGAGCCTCAGGCCCAAACTCCTGCCTCCTGTGTTTTGAAGTAGCTTTGCTTGATTCATCCTTGGTAACTCAGCAGATGTGAGAGACAACACCAAACACCACCCCCACATCCTAAAATTTAAGCAATGAACCACTTTAATACCAATCCGAATAAATCACAACAAGATGCTCTGAACACAGCAGTGCCACTCCCCATGGAATCCTTCCTGTTTCTGCCAGTAATAGAGAACAACATTTAAGTTCCTAGAAGCCAGGGAGTTACCTGTGGCCACCAGGGATAAATGTTCGTTGCCCCTGAGGAAAACTTTATTGTCACCCAGGAGCTATTTTTCAGCTGTGAATTCTAGGTGGCTGCTGAGGCGCTGTGCTCAGCTGGACATCAAAAAATTGCTGAGTTGGATCACTGGGCAGTGTGGCCTGCTCCTTATAAGAACACTATATTTTAAATATGTTGGCATTTCAACAACCTTTTAAAAATCAGCAGTATTTTTACTGCTGAAAAGGGCATACACGCTAATCTTTGAGTCTAGCAGAACCTTTAAGACCAACAGTTTTATTCTGGGTATAAGCTTTCGTGTGCATGAAAGCTTATACCCAGAATAAAACTCTGTTGGTCTTAAAGGTGCCGCCGGACTCAAACTTTATTCTTCTGCTTCAGACCAACACGGCTACCCACCTGATGCTAACCTTTGACAGCTTTGATAGCTTCCTAAATGGCAAGGGCACCTTTGCTACCTCTGCTCATTAAGCCAGCCGGGAGACTGGTCCTCATCGAGTCTGCCTTCTGCAGTGAGTAAACCTTGAAGGCCTACAGCAACACGAGCCTCAGAAAACTCACTTTAAAATCCTCATCCCAATGGAACACAAAAATTCACTGTTGAGATGAGAAGAGTGACCTCTCCTTTTTTTTGCTTCTGTCGGGAGAAGAATCTGCTCTTGTGAGCAGGGATGATTTAAAATATTGTATAATTTTGTTGCCCTGACCTGGCTAGCCTGATCTTCTAAAGTCTTAGGAGTTAAACAGGATCAGCCCTCGTTAGCACTTGGATGAGAGACCACCAAGGAAGTTTAGGGTTGCTATGCAGAGGCAGGCAATGGCAAACCACCTGTGAACATCTCTTGCCTTGAAAATCTTACAGGGTTGTGACATGACAGCAAAATACAACAACAGCAACAACAACAGTAATAATTTTAAATTAGTTGTTGATTTTCCAGGCTGTATGGCCATGGTTTTGGCATTGTAGTACCTGACGTTTCGCCAGCAGCTGTGACTGGCATCCTCAGAGGTATAACACGGAAAGATGGAGTACTCTCTGTGTCAAGGTGAGAAGAAAAATGGTAGGTAGGTAATTTATATCTACTCAGGAAGGTGGGGTAGGGCTGAGTCATTGTCTTGTAGGAGTTTCCCAGCATGTCACAGCCTGGTATTCTGAGACATTCTGAGATAGTTTGCCACTGCTGCCGCTACGTCACAACCCTGGTATTCCTTGGTGGTCTCTCTTCCAAATAATGACCAGGGGTGACCCTGCCTAGCTTCTTTCTCCATTGGACAGCAGTTTTGGGAGCCCTATTTGCTCCGAAGTGGGGCAGAGGGAACACTAGAGGGAGTGGGAGAAGGGTTTCATGCAGCTACGATATGAGAGGTTCAGCTGTCCCATTTCTCTTTTCAGAAGGAGTTCCTGATCCAAATCCCAGCCAGTCTGGAGGGATGTGGAAGCCAGGTGAATAGGTACGTGTCCACAGTCATCACTGTCCTGAGCATAGTTTTGGTGTACTAGAGCCAGTTTGGTGTAGTGGTTATGAGCAGTGGACTCTAATCTGGAGAACTGGGCTTGATTCCCCACTCCTCCACATGCAGCCAGCTGGGTGCTCTTGGGTCAGTCACAGCTCTCTCAGAGCTCTCTCAGCCCCACCTACCTCACAGGGTGTCTGTTGTGGGGAGGGGAAGGGAAAGGAGACTAAGCCACTCTTAGGGTGTGTTCAGACGCGGCGTTTCAGCCGGCATAAACTCTACCGGTTGGAACCGGTGCAGTTTATGCCGGCCGAAACGCGATCACACTTACCTCCATTTTGCGGATCCCATCGGTGTATGCCCGCTCACACGCTGCGGGTGTCGGCGTTTGTTTTTTTTAAACACAGTTTGAGCATGCGCATAGGCAGCCATTCACAGAATGGCGATATTTGCACATGCTCAAAACACCCCATATTACATTTAAACATTACATTATTACCTTTAAAGTTTAAAGACCAAACTGGTCTCCCTGAAGTCCCGGACTCCTCCGGAAAGTTAAAGTAAGGGCTTTTTTTTTTTTAACAAACGCTCAGGGCGAAGCTTCGCCCAAGCGCATATTGCTCAGTTTAAACAAAAAATGGCAGGGGGGAAACAGAAGCCTCAGGCTTCCGACGGAAATGGCTAGACACCGGTGGAGAGCGATCAGACGGAGGGGTATATCGAAAGCAACCGTTGCACTCAGTATACCACCACTTGGGAACCTAGTGGCAGAGTGCAACGGTTTAAAAGGATTTACAACGGTTAGGGACGGGAGGCAGATGTTCGCCGTCTGAACGCCGGTAAGTACACCGGTTGGAACCGGCACCTATACCGTTGTAAATCTCCCGTCTGAACGCACCCTTAAACTCCTTTGGGTAGGGAAGGGAAGGGTATAAATCCAGTCTCCTCCTCCTCCTCCTCCTCCTCCTCCATAAGATGTTCCACATTCGGTGCCTCCGCATGGCCATCTTCTCATCCTAGTTTCATCTTCACAGATCAGAGATCTGACCAGCTTAAACTCCCCAACTGTTTTCTCCCAAGGCTCCCTATTCACCAGAGCAAAGTCCACAAAGATAGCACATTCTTCAATCTGAAGCATCAAGAGTGAGTGGAAGGTGTGGAAGGGTAAACTGGGGCTGCCTTGGTACTTTGTCACCCCATGCAAGATACACCCATCACTTCCGGGTCTGCGCTGCCCACCAGCTGGCAACCTTACAGAGTCTTGCCTTGGGCCCAACCAGTGCAATGTGGGTGCAGGAAGGGATGCCCCCTCCCATATCTCTTATGGCTTGGACTGCAAGCTGAGCCCCTGTGGCACATTCGTGTTCTTTCCTCACTGTGTCACACCATGCAGCTGCTTGGGTGACTTGGCTGGAGAACCGGCCCTGGTATCCTCTCACCTACCCTCAGAAAACCCTTGGCATCTAGTGTCCAGCACCAATGTTCCCTCTGAGCTGTGGAGTCCTATGAGCAGAAATTCTACTTTTTGAGTTCCTGGCACTACAGTTGTGAGCGAGTGATTTGCCTGCTGCATAAATTAGTTTGCTCTGGAGCCATCCTTCCTGAGCTAAGACAAAAGTGTGTGAGCCAGTAGCTAAAAAACTGAGCTAGCTCACACTAACTCAGCTTAGAGGGGACATTGTCCAGCACCACTGTGCAGCTGGTCTGGCTGGGCCAAGGACAAATCCATTGGGATGTGGCTAATGGTGCCTTGTGTGCGGAGACAAGCCCCCAGAAGCAAAACTTCCCACTTGCCTAGCCTGGAGTGTCACCTTCGATGGCCCCCACCAGGGGCACAATTCACAGAGATTTCCCCCACTGGCTGCACTGCAAGAACTTTCCCTTCAGTATGATATAGGCAAGTTTCCAGTAGGCCATGTCCTAACTCCCTCCCTTTGACAGTGTTCAGTGCTGCCACCATCAGGGGGTGTGAAGTAGTGCCTTCCACCTTCCAGCTCTCAACCAGAGATATGTAGTGGTGGTGGTTGTTCAGTCGCACAGCCGACTCTTCGCGACCCCATGGACCACATCACGCCAGGTCCTCCTGTCTTCTGTCATGCTCTGGAATTTGCTTAATGTGGTTAGTTTACCATTAATAACTTTCCTTCTAAATTGCTGCAAAGGCACTAACCCTTTGGGGATTTTTCTTCAGAGAAATATAAATTGTATTGTAAAGGTTAGTCAATACATTGGGATCAGAAATATGAGTTGCCTGTGTCATTCTTAGTTCGATTTGTCTGTGCAGTGCCATGAGCATTTTGGAGTAACAGAAGCAGCACAGGAAATTTCCCCACCCCTATCCCCAAGGACCTATAAATCTCCAATAATAGTTGGGAAAACATAATTAGCCAAAGGAGTCAAAGGGCTTAAAAGAGAGGAATCCATGTGGAGGAGGGGGGAAATGTGGCCACAAGGAACCTGGCTGCCGAAGCGATGCCCAGAAAACTCCCCCCCCCTTTATATATCGCAAAAACAATCCACAGTGGTCCTTCAGATGCCTGTTTAAATATTCATTGTGGTCAGGAATGCAGCATTTTCCAGATGGCAGCAGCCTGCGGGGTGGGGGGCTTCAGGACTCATTAATCATTTATCCAGCATGTGTACAGAATCCTTTCAGCCTGTCTCTCGGTTGCCCCTACAATAGCCCTATAGGATGAGTCACTGCTCTTCCCATTTTACTGCTAGGCAAGTGAGACTCAGAAGCAGCGGCCCACTTCAAGACTCTGTGTGGGAGGGGCAGGGTTGCCAGCTCTGGGTTGGAGAATATCTAGAGACTGGGAGGAGGGCGGGGTTTGGACTTCAGTGGGGTATGCTGCCGTACAGTCCACATTCCCAAGTGGCCGTTATCTCCAGGTGAACTGATCTCTGTCACCTGGAGATCGGTTGTAATCCCAGGAGATCTCCAGCCACCACCTGGAGACTGGCAACCCTAGGGAGGGGTGAAATTGGGAGCAGGTGCAGTTTCTAGAGATCAGGGCCACGGCATCCCCTCCAAAATGACAACTGAATCATTTTTAGTGATTTATTTGTATTGAGAGGCCTCTCATAATCCAAGGCCCTAAACAATAGTTTATTTAGCTTGTATCTAAATCTAGCTGTCCCAGAGACTCCCATGCAAGTGGAGGCAAGGGGGAACCCTCTGGATGCTCGTGGGGGTGGGGGGGTTGACCCTAGCATTTGCCCCTTCCTTTTCTCCTCCTGAGCCTCTCACACAGACCCCGAGAGGGCCAGCCTGATCTCCTCCTGTCTCCTCTCACCCCCACAGGGCTCGTGAATCATCTGAACCTTCGAGCTGAATGGAAAAGTTACAGAAGGTAACTGGGGGGGGGGTTATATCTTGGGGACACAGCTCAGTGTTCAACTGGTGATGTATAAGATCTATTAAAAAACCCAAAATGGGTCCTTTAATCAGGGAAATGCAAAGGCCTTGTAGCTCTTAAATGCGAAGGGGGCTGCTGAAATAATATACACGAATTAAATCGGATCCTTTCCATTGTAAAGAATGGGGCTGTGGATCTTACAGGCTGTAATCTTAAAGGCACTTTCCTGGTAGTAAGCGCCATTCAGTAATATGGGGCTTGCTTCCGAGTAGATTTTCTTAGGCTTGCTCCCCTAGGGTGCTTCGTAGCTCCAGGTCCTGCACACCTCAGCAGTTTTTGTCAGAGACAACTGAGGGTCTTAAAAAACGTAGTTATTGCCCATGGGCTAGGTTGCTGAACTTATTAATTCTTATTGATTCTCTTATATAAGTAAATAGACAAAGATGCCCAGTATTACCTTGGTTTGTGCTGACAGTGTAAGCAAAGCAAGAAATGGGTAGCTGAGTGTGAAGGGTCCCAAACAGGGTTGCCAACTCCTAGTTGGGAAGTTTCTGGAGGTTTGGAGGGAGCTCAGCAGGGATGTGATACCATAGAGCAGTGGTGGCGAACCTATGGCACGGGTGCCAGAGGTGGCACTCAGAGCCCTCTCTGTGGGCACGTGTGGCATCGCCCCAGCCAAGCCCAGACCATCATATAAGTGTCAAATTCTCTGCCAAATAATTTTAAGTAAATGAAAGGATTTGGGGATTGCTTTCCTTACTTTGTTTGGATCATCTTAAGTTAATGTATGGGTTGTTTTTTTCTAAAGTAAAACCTCAGTATTCAGGTTAAATTGCTGTGTTGGCACTTTGTGATAAATAAGCGGGTTTTGGGTCGCAGTTTGGGCACTCGGTCTCTAAAAGGTTCACCATCACTGCCATAGAGTCCACCCACTGAGGCAGCCGTTTTCTCCAAGGGAACTGATCTCTGTCGTCTGGAGATGAAATGTGATTCTGAGAGATCTCCAGGCATTGCCTGTGGGTTGGTAACTCTAGATTCCCAAAGACACCATCAAAATATTTAAACATTACTTATAATAGAAAGGAAATCAGGATTGCCATGTCATTTCAAGAGTACAAGGCAGGAAGCTTCTAAAAACGGCAAAAGATATCAAAATAGTGCATACATCCTACGCTTGAGTGATACCAGATCTAAAGCCAAATTGGTGGGAGGAGGATTGGGGCTGTAAGCAGAATAGAGTGGTCAGGCTAGTTGACCAAACTTTGAATATTCAGTTACCAGACACTTGGATTGTCATGCCACCTTAATACCTTATAGAAAAAAGTAAATACTTATAGAAATAGCAAAGCAAAATGAAACACAGTATTTTAAAAACATTTACGACGATTGAAAAAAAAAACTGTACAAGTCAAACAATTCCTAGGTGAAAACCCCACCAGCAAGGGATGATAATAGTACCTGTAACCTGACTCTAAGCGATATGCAGGTAAGTTGCAAGAATCCAATCAATTGCTTGAGAAATGCCAAATGATGCCAAATTCAGTCTTCTCAGATATAGTTATAGAAGATCCAGCCAGCTATTTTTAAAATCTGGGACAAATCGAAGGAGAGGTGAGTTACTACACCAGCCACCTTTAGCTTTAGCAAGATGTCCAGCGAACCTGCAGATCCGATGACATCAGCCTGTGAGAAAAACAGGTGGTTACAGATCTTGTTGAGGCTGGGAAGAAAACTGATTTATTATTTTTGTGGCACGGCAAATGTATTCTTTAAAAAAAAATGTTGAGGGAATGTTACCCACCCCAAATAAACCCCAGGTTATCATTTTCCAGTAACCCCTAAATGGTTTCTTTCAAAGTCTGTATTCAGGGTGTTATAAAGAGGGAGCATAGAGATTTGCGAGGAATTTGATCATTGTAGCCAAATTAATCATCACCAAAGAAAAACAAAGGAAGTAAAAAAAACCCAAACCCAGCTGGAGGGATGAAGCAAAGCCTGCTGTATAGGACTGGAGGGTGAGGATGTGACAGCTATTGTTAACATTCTTCACTTCTTTCAAACATCTGTGGGAGGGCAGTGAGTATACCATGAGCTCTCTTAGAGAATAAGGGCAGCCACTTATCCAGTACCAGATTAGAATCAGAGCACCACATAGAGTTGGTGCCACAAGTGTTACACTGCTAACAATACAGGAGATAAAGGAGGTGAACAATCATTGTATGTAAAAACAAAATTAGGTTAAAATGGAAAATTACTGAGGGGTAGCCATGTTCACCTGCTGCAGCCTGAGCAGCAAAAGGTCATCTTAAAGCCATCAGAGCCTGCTCTATCTTATACATGAAGGGTTACATTCGACTGGTAGAGAGATGACCAGAAGTTTCTCTTGCAGTACATTTGTTAGTCTTTAATGTGTCCTGCTAAATTGGAGTTTGATGATCGTGTGTAAGACATGGTATTTTGTGAGCTTGAGACAAAAGAGCATAGCTGTGATTCATCCTTGTGATCTTGTTGGTATTCATACAGAGAGCCTAAAATAGTTCGGGATGCTCCACAGTTCTTTTTACATCCTTGCATTGTAATATCTGTTCTCAGAGAGTATTAATTAAAAAAACTAATTAAATGCCTGGACCTCGAACAGAACATATTGCAACTGGGCTTCCACCAGGTGAAACTCAAAAGCTTTTCACTCACTGAGTTGTGCTTTCGAGTTGGCTTCAGTTCTTCTTCTCTGGATAACAGTGGCTCAAGTGGTTAAGATGCTGAACTGCAGAGCAGAAGGTTGGTAGTTCAGCAGTTCGAGACCCGAGTGCCGCATGACAGAGTGAGCTCCCGTCTCTAGTTCCAGCTCCTGCCAACCTAGCAGTTCGAAAGCAAGAAATTGCAAGTAGATAAATAGGTACCACTTCAGTGGGAAGGTAACAGCGTTCCGTGCGCCTCGTTGTCTAGTCATGCCGGCCACATGACCATGGAGAAGTCTTCAGACAGCGCTGGCTCTTCAGCTTGGAAACGGAGATGAGCACCGCATTCCTAGAGTTGGATTCGACTGGTTTTCGAGCAAGGGAAAGCTTTACCCTTTACCTTTACCTATATATACCTTGAGGTCTTTGGGACACAGTGAGAAGGTCCTCATATCTCCACAACAAAAAGGAAGGGCCCAGCAAATGGAATGGCCACCCCCATCCTCGCAACAGCTTTGATTAAGAGTGCAAATATGTGCCTTTGAGAGGCTAAGCTGGAGTTCACTGTCTCTGCTGAAAGGAAGTCCTTGTTGGAATTGACTCTCAGTGCACTGGAAGCCTTGCCAGGCTTGACACAATAAAGTCTGGTCCCCTCCAATTCCTGTCTCCTGGCAGGATCGCTGGGTATGACAGATTTCGTGCATGCCAACCGAAGCATTTTTGAGCCTCCCACTGTTGATGCTGGTTTGTATGAAAGACAGCGATGTAGTTTTAAATGTGCACATACTTTTTAAAAAAAATTAATCAATTGATGGTCACCTGGGAATGTGGATGTACAGTCATATTCCTACATTTTGTGTGTCACCTGCAAACTCTTGTAGGAGAAGCGTACCTTATGAAGGGAGATAATGTACATTAACCAAAGTGGAAGGAGATTCCTGAGTAGTCCTTAAAGTGCTATTATGATTTGTCACAAGTCCCCTGCATACTTGATGGACATTGGGATGGTAGTGTCACCTAGTGGTCATTGACTGGTAGCTCTTTGTGGAGAACCTCCACCAGCCTTATGCATCTCACCTAGTTAGGATTACTTAGTATTTGCACACTTAGCATACATAACCTCAGTAATCTTTACAACAGTAGTTTGTCCAGGTAGATCAGTACTGTTTCCCCCATACTGCAGAGAGGAACTGAGGCAAAGAGTGGCTGGGCAAAACTATATGTTACATGTAATTCTGTTATTTTTGTTTTTGGTATTTATTTGGAATATTTATCTCCTGTATTCTTAATAGTTGATCCCCCAAATTGGCTGACAGTAACATTATAAACAAGAAATTATCCATGAACAACAATTCAAACACCAGTGCAGCAAAAATAATAATACACAAAGCAAGATAAAAAAGAAAACAAGAACAATACAAAAAGAAAACAAGAACAATGCATAAAGCAAGATTTTAAAACTCCCACATTTCTTAAGAACTTTCAGCAGCATTAAACCAGCTTAAGAGAATAGAACCCAGATGAGAAGAAACACTATAGCAAAGTAGGTCTAGGAAAGATTGCAGAAAAGTTGAGGGAATCCCAGGAATTCTGGAACACAGAAGCACCAGGATGCCATGGGGAAGTGAGGGGGGCACTTCCCCGAAGCATCAAAACTGGGGCAAATCTCTAGTATGGAAACAACACGAGATGGCTTCCTTTTATGGACAGGAGCTATTTTATGAAATGCAGCTTCAGAGGCTTCAGTTTGAAGGGAGACATCAATAAGGGGGGGTGCAGTACCTCTTGGAGCACATTCCTACTGGAAAATCCCCTCCACCAAGCTGCTTTCATCCCCACTGGAAAAAAAAGAGGAGTCCCCGTGCCTCTGACCCACTAGGGGTAAAAGCAATGGCAGGGCAAGATCTGAGGTGAGAAAACAGCCCAAGGAGAAATACACATATCCCGCACAAAGAGCCAGTTTGGTGTAGTGGTTAGGAGTGCAGACTCTAATCTGGGAGAGCCAGGTTTGATTCCCCACTCCTCCACATGCAGCTGCTGGTGTGACCTTGGGCCAGTCACAGTTCTCTCAAGAGCAGTTCTCTCAGAGCTCTCTCAGCCCCAACTACCTCACAGGATGTCTGTTGTGGGGAGGGGAAGGGAAAGGAGATTGTAAGCTGCTCTGAGACTCCAAGTGAAGAGCAGGGTATAAATCCAGTCTCTTCTTCTGTTCTCCTCTCCTTCTTATCCCAGCCTCAGCCACTGAATTCCGTAACAAGGGCCAACGCCCCTTGCAAGAATCATGGAACTACATATTAGCTCCAGTGCCCTAAGACAGCTCGAGGAGGCAAGATCTAAACCAGAGTCTTCTGGTTACTATGCTACACCCACTGTCAATTGACTCTAGTTGTGCGTGTACCACATGTGGGTGTACAGGGGAAGGAGCAGCATTGCAAGTGGGAATTTAGACTCCTCCTGCTCTTTAGACGCCACAATTTGTTCTGGCTGTTCGTGGGAAATGCCTGTGGCACCCCTCCTTCCTCCAAGAAAGAGAACAGCTATGTTAGGCTGCCATAGAAAAGGCAATAGAATTATATGACCTGCAGTGACTTGCAGGGCTTGTGTTTGCGTTCACCTGAATCCATGTAGATCAAGTTTCTAGACCACTTTGTGCCTCTGACAGGCTCCAGCCCACGGAAGCAGAGACCTTGAGTGATGTTTTCGGTCCCTTGCCATACCACAGCAGCTCCCCCTTCCCTGCAAGGCCTGACTCCATCAGCCTAGCACTTCTTCTCCTTGGCAGAGGTTGCCTTCACTGCTAATCAAAGTCCTGTTGACCAAGGTGTCCCCCTTGTCTTCTGCAGCAATTGACTTCCCCGGGGAGTGTTGGTTCCTCCCGGGGATCCAGCGTTCCAGGGTCACCCTCCAGCATTGTGGTGAGTATCATTCTGATCCCCCCAGCAGAGAAACCACCAACATCTTTCTGTTGCAATACTGCCACCAAAGTCATGCCATTTTCAGCAGAACACGTTTGTACTTGTCATGCCCTTAATGCTCTTGAACTTCTGTTCAGCTTTCACAAAAAGGGAGCTTAGCAACTGGGAGATCAGGCGCATTTTTAAGAGGAAAACATGCCTCTGCTCTGCTCCAGAATGCTAGCAGACAGCCTTTCCCAAGTGTCTGTGCCCCCCTAGGATATCCACGAATAAACACGATCTTCCTTGGGTGGGGGAAGGAAGGGAATACACACAAACAGTGTTTCTGAATGGCTACACACCTTCCTTCTGAGAGCCAGAGGGATAAAAGGGAGAGCATTGGACTGGGAGACAAGGCCTCAGGCTCCCACTCATTCATTGAGCTGCTCATTTACTCTCAGGCTGACTTCCATCACAGGGTTATTGTAAGGGTCTGGAGGGGAGGGGAGACCCATGTACACTGCTCTGAGCTCCTGCAAGAAATGCCATAAAGAAACTGTGGCTCTCGAAAGAGGAGTTTGTTTGGTTCATGCAGACCAAAATGTGGACACCTCAGGATATCAACCGTTGGCTTTTCTGACTTGCTCATTTACCCAGGCCAAAATGGACAATGAAGTCCTGGCATACAAGGACTTGGCAGCAATCCCCAAGGACAAGGCGATCCTGGACATAGAGCGTCCGGACTTGATGATCTATGAGCCCCACTTCACCTATTCTCTCCTGGACCACGTGGAGAGGCCAAGGAGCAGAGAGGTGAGGAAGCACAAATCCTTTATCAGCTGGGTGGGGAGGGGAGGGCTTCTGCCTTTGATCGGCCCTGAGCTGCAGTGGGAAGTAGGGTTGCCACCTCCTGGTTGGGATTTACCTGGAGATTTGGGGGTGGAGCCTGAGGAGTAGGGTTGCCAGGTCTGGGTTGGAAAATACCTGGAGACTTTGGGGGTGGATCCAGGAGAGGGTGGGGTTTGGGGAGGGGAGGGGCCTCAGCATGGTACAATGCCACAGAGTCCACCCTTCAAAGCGGCCATTTTATCCAGGGGAGCTGATCTCTGTCAGCTGGAGATCAGTTGTAAAAGCAGGAGATCCCCAGGCTCCACTTGGAGGCTGGCAACCCTACTGAGGAGGGTGGGGTTTGGGGAGGGGAGGGACTTCAGTGGGGTACAAGGCCATGGAGTCCACCTTCCAAAGCGGCCATTTTCTCCAGGTGGGCTGATCTCTGTCACCTGGAGATCAGTTGTAATCCCAGGAGATCTCCAGGCACCACCTGGAGGCTGGCAACCCTGGTGGGAAGGCAGACCTACACTAGGGGAGGAAGGTGTCTTTCTGGCCCAGCTCCATTCCTCCCTATGAGATTTTAGGGAAATGATTTATTTAAAACTGTTTGAGAAGGGTCTTAGCTTGGCTTAAGCCACCTACATAGCTGCCTTGGTCTGTTTTGCTGCTGTGCCAATCCGTTAATGTTTTGAGGGTTTCACATTGCCAATGTTTTTGTTTTGTTTTCTTAGCCGCCACAAGAGCCGTTTATTGGCTGATCTATGCACCTTAGAATAAATTAATCAGTAACGCTCAGTTGCTGGCTTCGTCAAATAATGTGGGCCTTTTCGACTTCTTTCTCTCTCCGTAGCGTTCCCTCTCGCCCAAATCTCTCTCTCCTCCGCCTTCTCCAGAAGTAAGTGCTTCCCAGAGTTGCCTTGGAGATGTGTTGCCAAGAAGGGGATGTGAAGAGCAAGGCCTGGGGGAGGGGAGGGAGGGGGAGAGGAGCATCTTCCCTCAGCTGAGCATAGCTGCTTTGCAAGGTCATGGAGACAAGAGCCCGTGTGTACGTGTGTGTCTTTGCACATGTGCTGTGTGCTCAGAGGCCCCACCCAGGCTCACGTTGCCATTGTTTGTGTCATGCACCTCACAACACGGGATGAAAAGCTCCCACCACCCCAAGGAGCAAAAGCGTGGTTTTTGCTTCGGTGCCCGAACGCAGCTTCTCTTCTGCAACAAGTCATGGCTGTACTTGCAAGGGGGAGGTTTTTAAGATGAAGCGTTGGCAGTCTGGGAGGGGAAAGAAGGGACGGGTGGTTTGCCTTGGAGCAGCACAGCTCAGAAGAGAAAGAGAGAGAAGAAGACTGTGAGCCTGCTGCTGTAATCTCATTGTGCTGCACCTGCAGGTCACCCGGGACTGGATGGAGAACAAGTCTCCAGGAAACACCTCCCAGGCAGCTAGTCGGAGGGCCAGCAGCTCCAGTCGCAGCGGACTCCAACACTTCCACCGTCCTGGTAGGGAATCGCTTCCCCCCTCCGCCTTCTTTCCCGTCAGACACCCCTCCTCAGACTTTCCTTCCTCTGCCAGCCGCAGCGGAGTGGAAGAGCTATTTGTATGATAGGACAGAATCTTCCTCCACAGAACCCTGTTATTTTGGTCAGGTTGCCAACCTCAAGGTGGGGTGTGGAGTTCTCCCAGAATTACCTCCAGACTATGGAGATAAGTTTCCCTGGAGAAAATGGCAGCTTCAAAGAGAAGACTCTGTGGTAGATTCTAGGTGAAATCCCTCTCTAAACTCCCCCCCTTCACAAGCACCACCCCAAAATCTCCACCAGTTTCACAGGCTAGAGTTGGCAACCCTAGAATTTGGTGAGGATGCTTTCTGAACCCCCTGGCTCATTCCGCATCTCACACAACTTCATTCTTGCGAGAGAATAAGTACTGAAATAGTCGAACTGGAATTCCCTCTCCCATTGATTTTAGCACTATAACCTGCTATCACACCAAAGTTAGTCAAAGGTCATCTCAGACCTTCTATGCATTTCTTGTAAATGCCTCCTTAAAAGTAAATTCCACCTTCATCTCCACCACTTCCCCCTCCTCTGTATCCCAGTGCTTATAATTCTCCCAAATCCCAAACCACTCTGAAAAAGGCAGCATGATAATATCTGAGAACATCTGTAACAGCTGGATTTTGTTGTGAGGCTCACTGGTTTGTAATAAGAGATATGTTTATTAGTGCATGTCTTAATAGCCTATATTTTTGCCTGTTATATTGCTAATAGTAATGCAAAAGCAAGCAGAAAAGAAATACACTCTGGTAATATTTGAACTCCAGCAATTTTCTCCATCCAGAAAGGTTTACTATTCAATTCAGTGTCTAAAGTCCATCTGCATTTTTTTGATCATGGGGCCAAAATGAAAAATGATTCATTCAGACATACAATGTATTTTTTCAAACTGATAATATTTATAATAAGCAGGTGGTTGTTTTCCTATTGAGTGCAATGAAAAGGGGGCAGGTTCGGGGGGGGGGTTTCTCTGGGAAGCAATGACCAGGTAGGTTCTGAGTAGGGTTACCAGCTCCAGGTTAAGAAATACCTGGAGATGTTGAGGGTGGAGCCTGAGGAAGGAAGACTTTGAGGAAGCCGGAGGGACTTCAGTAGGGTGCAATGCCACGGAGTCTACCTTCCAAGGCAGCCATTTTCTCTAGGTGAACCGATCTCTGTCACCTGGAGATCAGTTGTAATCCCAGGAGGTCTCCAGCCACCACCAGGAGGCTGGCAACACTAGTCCTGAGCTACTCACAAGAATGCTTTGTTCTTTCCTAGATACCAACACGACAGAGATGAACATCTACAAGAAGCCTCCAATCTACAAGCAGAGGGGTAGGTGCTGCTCCCTGGTGACCCCCGGGGCAGGGGCCATATGTGGCTAAGCCTCACTGCCAGCTCTTCCTTTTCTGTCCCTTCCAGAGCACTCGGCAACACCCACCCCCCAGGGCAAACACCTCATAGAAGACCTGATCATAGAGTCCTCCAAGTTCCCAGCAGCCCAGCCCCCAGACCCAAACCAGCCGGCCAAGATCGAGACGGACTACTGGCCCTGCCCTCCCTCTCTGGCAGTTGTTGGTAGGTGGACCTTGTAGAATTTTACATGTTGTGGTTTTAACTCAGTTTTCTCTGTTTTAATTATGTTTTGTTGTTTTAATATATGTATATTCTGTAAGCCGCCCTAAGCCCGCCACGGTGGGGAGGGCGGGATACAAATTGAAATAATAATAATAAATTGTCCCCACTAGGGGCTAAAGCATCTTAGAAGTGGCAGTCTTTGAGAAAGGGAGGCAGAATGAAATATCTCCCTACTCTAGATGTACCCACGACTACAGTCTATAAAAGTTAAAAAGTCTTAGGGTGGCAAAAGGGTAGTGGAACTCAAGGATGCACAGGCCTCAGGATGAGTAACTTTTCTCCTTCATGGGGCATTCAGTCAGAAGTGGGTGTCAGAGCATGGCAAGTGGCGGCCTGTTTTCCTTGCACAGGAGGCATGTTGAAAACCCTTCATGTATATCATCTTGTTTGCCATGCCTGAGACAGGTTAGCATTCTTGCCAGCATTGGCTTAGGCTCAGCAGACACAACAGAAGCTTGTATAAGGTCACCAGGCAAATCTCTGATGGTTGCCGTGAGATTTGAGCTAGACTACTTTTGCTGCTCTGCTGTGGCTTGCTCCCCACCACCCTCCCAGCCAGCATGATGTAATGGATAGAGACTGGGATCTGGGAGACCCACATTCGAATCCTCACTCTTAGAAGTTCGCTTGGTGAACTTGAGTCAGCCGCGCTCTCTCTCCCAATCTAATCTACCTAGCAGGGGGGGGGGGTTGTCATGAGGATAAAATGGAGGGAACAGGAAGAATGATGTTGTAAGCCACTCTGAGTCCCCATTGGGGAGAAAAAGCAGGGTATAAATATTTAAATAAATAAGAACCCCCAGAAAGGACTTCTTATTTCCCAGAATTCTTCTGAAGCCTGGGCCTGCTGCCGGCTTGGCCTATGAATGCCCATAAAGGCACCTTCAGCCCTTGGAACATAATAACTGGCCTGGTATGAATTATTAATTCTCCAAATCCCAAATAGCAAATGTGGAAAGGTGCCATGGTAGTTCTCAGTTTCTAGGGAGGACGGAACAGTCTTCTTATCCCTTAGCAAGAACTGCAGTCCCATCAAGTTGGTATGGTTCCTGTTTAAACCTCTGACGTACTTCAGTCAGCCTCAGGCAGGTAGTAGCCTTCTGTTTTGATGTCAGATTCTAGAGGGGTAGCCGTGTTACTCGATTGCCGCCAAAACATCAAAGAGTCTTGTGGCATCTTCAAGACATATTCATTGGGACTTGAGCATTCATGAGCCAGAGGCCACTTTGTCAAGGACATGAAATGCTGAAGGTTTGTTGGAATTATGCTTAATAATAATAATACTTTCAATTCATTAATCGCTTTCCCCAGTGGGCTCAAAGCGATGTACAGTTACACATTTTAGACAGGAGACTAACAATGTTCATAGGAGATAGGGAAGACAACATATATTCATTTAATTGCACACGCTGTCACTGCACGGTGTAAACGTCTTCTGGCTTGGCTCAGTCATTTTCCGAACGGCTGCTTGTCGACGAGGCTTCAGGACCCGTATGTCAAATTGCCACACTGCCACCGCCTGGCCGGAAACATCCACTGCAGGGATTTTTGTAGCCGAGAAGTTCTTCCGCCTTTTCCGAACCTCGACCAGGACGTCCCGACCGTCAGCTAACACCCTCCCACAAGGGAGATTGGTGTGCCCACCCTCTCTAAGGAATGGTTCCCATTTTATCTACTCGCCGAAGCTTTCAAATCACTGGGTGGACGATGAGCTGGGGACAACAGGCTGGCTGCTCACACCAGCGCGGGGCTCAAACTAACACAGTTCGGATGTTAAGACAGTGGGTGGTGTCTGCATGCACATGGGTGTCTGTATATCTATACCAATATATGGTACAAAGAGAAGGAGGGGGGGGAGAATACAAAGGCACAGCAGTCCCAGACATGTGTGTGTTACTGAAAACATGACCTAGAAAGAAATAAAATGATCCAGGCAGAGTGGGCGCAGACTGCTCCAGAACAGTGATGAATTGGCACACTTGGATGAAGAATGCAAGAGGAATTGCTTTCTGCAGTGAACTAGCCATTTCCTGAACTATACTGAGCCCAAGCTTGAACAAGGTCACATCTGCATAATAATTTCCCCTCTCAGCAGCTTCTCACAGATAAAATTGTTAGGCACATATAGAGGGACAAACCTTGCTGGGGGGAAATCAACAAGGCTTCTGCAAAGGAAAGTCCTGCCTCACCAGTCTTTTGGAGTTCTTTGAGAAAGTGAACAAGCATGTAGACAACAGTGACCCAGTAGACATTATATACCTGGACTTTCAAAAGGACTTTCACCAAAGACTCCTGACTAAATTTAGCAGTTATGGGATAAGAGGACGGGTTCTCTTATGGATGGATAATTGGTTAAATGACAAGAAGCAAAGAGTAGGAATCAATTGATAGTTCTCACAATGGAGGGAAGCAAGCAGTGGGGCCAGTAACAACAGCCAGGGCTCATTCATCTGTACATCCCTCTAATGTGCTATCACGTTCTGTCTTCTTCCATTGACGTTAGCTGGACTGGACAGACTCTGGACAAGAAAATAAATAGACACAAATCCGGTGGGGGAGCATTTCAACCCCCCTGGACATTCAGTAGCAGACTTAAAGGCTGCAGTGTTTTGGAAGGAGAGTTCCAAAGGAAAACTCTAGTGGAAAAATGCTGAGTTAGAATTCATGCAGAGTTTACAGTCTTAAATTTGGGCTCAGTAGAGACTGGGGGTGGCTAGAGCTACCTGCCTTTTACATGTGTACCTTGCCGTTCACCCGGAGAGCTCAGGGCGGCACACACGGCTTTTCCTTCTTCCACTTTATCATCACAACAATGCTGTGAGGTAAGATAGGCTGAGACTGGCCCAAAAGCACCCAGTGAGCTCCATAAGAGGGTGGGGATTTGAATCATGGTCTCCCCAGATCCTAGTCCCAACACTTTAACTGGCACACCACCATGCTTGCGCCTTCTTGCCTCCCCTTGTGTGCAGAGTGCAGCTGGGCTTTCTGAATCAGGAAGACTTGCAGGTATCTGGGCAAACTTGTTCCCTTCCTGAAGGGTGGGATTCTTCTAAGTAAGACATTTTGCCGAGGTTTGTTGGATGTAGGCACTGGTGTATCTGACTGGCTATAGGTTCCACCTGTGCTCTGCAGTGTAATGAAAAGGCACCTGTGTTTTGGATTGCGGGGCCTTCTGGCCTCCCTTTTTAATGATTTCCCCTGGACCTCCTTCTATTTGTACCTTGCAGAGAGAGAGAATGAGTGTGTGTGTGTGGGAGGGGCACTGGCCTATGAAATTTGATTTTTGGATGAATTTTAATCTTTAAGGTACCACTGGAATAAGAGCTGGCCCAATTGGAACGGATCACTTTTCTGGCTTTGCACATGTTTTCTCCTGTGGGACCAAAACTGGTGAGGCCACCAAGACCTCAGCTCTCAGGGCATTTGTTTGGGAGTAAGGCCCATTTGAATCAGTAGATTGCGTCTTCTGAGCAAACATAGAATTGGGCTGAAAAACTCCTGTAAGGAATAGGTCTTTTTCTCTTTTTTTGGCACCCTGTAATAAAGTCCACCCACCCCATTGCACCCACAGAGACTGAGTGGAGGCAGCGGAAGGCTTCAAAGAGAGGGGAAGGAGAGGACGAGGACCTCACAACAGAAATGAAAAGCCTGCAAGAGATGCAGAAGCAAGAGCTGAGCAAGGTAGCTGATGTGAGGAGGTGGTAAGCCAGGGAGTGGATCAGGGTAGGGTTGTCAACTCTGGATGAGGAAATACCTGGAGGTTTGGGGAGGGGGAGGCTCTCGGCAAAGTACAATGCCATAGAGTCCATCCTCCAAAGCAGCCATGGCTGTACTAGTAGTAGATCTCCAGGCCCCACCTGGAAGTTGGCAATCTTAGATCAGGGGCAGTCTTACATACGGGCCATGGTGGGGAGGCCCTGACAGTCAGTGGGGGGTGATAGAAAATAGTAGTGTTAAAGAGAGTAAAGTCAAAATGCAAAAGGAAGGGCATTTTTGAATGGACATACATTGCAAAAACTAGCCCATTATTCTTGTCGAGAGCAGGCTGGGTGGGAATAAAGGGAGGGGGGCATTCTTTACTTTTGGCTGAGGCCACAGAGTCACTCAATGGCCCTGAGTGGGGTGGAGCAGCCAGAGGAAGCCTTCAGGTCTGCTTGGATCCCTCCTAGTCCCGCGCATTCCTCCCTCCCTGCAGATCGCCTCCAACCTAGGCAAGCTCATCCTGAAGGAAGAGATGGAGAAGTCACTCCCCATCCGGCGGAAAACTCGCTCCCTCCCAGACCGAACCCCCTTCCACACCTGTGAGTGGGCATCATCCCGGCCTTCTGGGGAGATCCCAAAGGGGCCAAGAGGAACGGAGCTTGAGGAGGGGAACAGCCTCTCTCTTGGGCGGGGGCTTCTTCTCAAGAGGGCTGTTTCTGTGCAGATGTGGCCACCACTGCTTTTTTGGATTAATTTTTCTTAAGGGGAGGCATGCTTTCAGGGCTTGTAAGAGCAAAGGATGGCATCCAGTTCAATTAGTATTAAAAATACTCTTTAGCGATACACCAGGCAGCCTCCTTTGAAAGAAGGCAGGTCAGATGCTTTGGGAGTGACTGTATGAACCAACCGTACAGCAGGCAGCCGCCTCTAACTTAGCTTGGCTCCCTAAAACTCCCATGGGCCTTTATTTGTTCCTCAAGGAACACTTGACATTTACATGGTGTACTTCTGAACAATCCACCCCATAATTTGGGGTTCTGGATGCCTATATGCCTGTTCCCTCCTTGCAGTGCTCCCTGTTGTGGAACAGCCCATCATTGGGAAGCAGCAGCACCCACCCACCATGCTCCGGCATGATTCCCTTTCATTCCCATGGGGCTTGCAGACCTCTCCATCTCCCACACTGCTGCACTCAGTAGTGTCCCAAATCTGCTTCTGGTGGCTTCACAGAAGGGGCCTCCGCTTCCAGCTCTCTTTGTAGCCATGCCCCTCTGCATGACTCTCAGCTGCTGGGCTGCACATGAGGCACAACCCTTGTGTGGAAGTAATCATCTGTCTTGCTTTCTTCCAGCGCTGCATGGAGGAAGCTCCAAATCCTCGTCCCTTCCTTCCTATGGGAGAAGCACTCTTGCCAGGGTAAGAAACCAGCTGCCACTGCAAACCCTGGGGGAGCATTGTGAGCAGCCTGCTGTGGCACCCAATACTAGGTGCCTTCAAAGCAGTGTTGTGGCTGCATGCACCTCTCACGGCTCTCTGATGGACATAGGGAGACTCATTCTGCCTGGGCAGTCAGTCCCCCTGCCTCCTGCCCTGTCTCCCCACTACCCACCCAGCCTTACCCCTGTATAGATCCTCAGCGGCAACAACTGCTGCTGAGTTTTGGGAGGCTGTAGAAATGCCCCCTGAAAGCTAACCTCAAGAATCTGTGCAGCTGCCAGTTATTTCAAGAGGCCTGTCCATCAGTCCTACTGCTGCATGGGTGGGATCCAGCCAAATACATGTCCAGCCTAGAGATGTAACATTTCCAGAAATTTTGAAACCAGGGGCAAGAAGGGAGTATGTTTTCTTCTTCTTCTTCTTCTGAAAAGAAAAACAACTTTTGGAAAGTTACCACATTTCATTCATTCCAAAAGGGGGGAAGATTACGAACTTGCATTGGAAAAATTATTTTAAAAAACCCCAAACCTAAGCCTCTCATGCTGTACATTTTGAATGAGTAAACCCTTTTCTTAAAAAGCATTTCATTCATTTCAAAGAACTATATATTTGGTAGGAGTTTGTTTCGGCGCTTCCCAAAATGTCCCAGTTTTTCCACTGGGATCTTTTTTTAAGTGCTCAGAATTTGAAAAAGAAAACCCAAGAAAGAATGGGTTCTCCCTCCCCTGCCTGCCCACCCACTACTTTTTCCACTTGGGAGGGAGGGAGGGCTTCACAACTCTGTTCCCGCCTACATTTAAAGAGGTTCTTCTCCAAAGGCTCCTGAGTCAGCTTTGTAATCATCAGCCAGGGGGCAGATCCTGTTATGGATCAGTGACTGGTTCAGTGCCAGGATGCAGAGAGTAGGAGTAAATGGACAGTTTTTACAGTGGAGAAAAGTAAGCAGTGGGGTTCTGCAGGGAGACCGAGGTACTCTTTCATTTGTCATAAATTATATGGCACTGGGGGTGAGCTGTGAAGTGACTACGTTTGCAGATGACACCAAACTATTCAGGATGGTGAAACACAAAGCAGATTGTGAAGAGCTCTGAGCAGATCTTCCCAAACTCTGTGAGTGGGCAACAAACGAGTAAGTGGGATTCAGTCTAAGGATGTGTAGGCCACAGAGAGAGATAAGATGCTGGGGTCATTGTTCTGATCTAATAGGGCTCTTCTTATGATTTTTACAGCTACAGTCAACAGAGTTTAGCCCAACCGGAAGCGAGAAGGGCAGCCCAGGTAAGATGAAGTATAAGCGAAGGGTTTGCGGTAAGGGTGGAGGTTGCCCACCCGTCATTGCCTCTGCCCCGTCTCCACTCCTGTTCCCTTAGGACTGAACCTACACAGTTGACACAGCCGCCTACATGCTTTTTCCTTTTTGTTTTGCAGGTCTACAGGTAGGCGCACACCCTCCCGCAGGAGAGAAGACACTGGTGATCTATCACGCTATTCTCCCCCTTCCCTTCCATCCATGAACCCAAATGTCTGTTGGGACCAAGTTCCTGGGAGAAGAGAATGACTGAGGGCACACAAACACGCACTGGCAGACCTGGCAGGGATAGAGTGTGGCACCCTATACTCGAAGAGGAAGGGGGGGGGCAAAGGGAAGTATAAAACGAGTCTGGAAGTGGCACTGGGAGAGATTAAGAGGGGCCTGGAGCTTGCCTTGGCTGGCTCCTTTGGTCAGATGATGCCCTGCGCCAGCTGCACGCATCTGCACTCAGCTCAGCACCCAGCCAGTGGTGAATGCGTGTGTGTTTTCCTTTGCAGAATGGCCAGCGAGGACGGATGGACAGGGGGAACTCCCTTCCCAGTATGCTGGAGCAAAAGGTGAGTGCTGTGCAGGGCAAGGGGGGGAAACGCGTGGATATAGTTTTGTACATAAGATTGCAAATGTTGTAACAAGGCATCCGGTTTGTTTGTTTTGTGTCCCCCCTCCCCCCAAAAAAGATCTACCCATACGAGATGCTGATGGTAACGAATCGGGGCCGTGTGAAACTGCCTCCAGGAGTAGACAGAACGAGGCTAGAGGTACAGAGCAGAAGTTTCCTGCACTTCTTAAAGCATCAATGCATCTCAGATGATGCCTTTGTCTCTGCAGTGCAAGGCCCAGAAAAGCCAAGGTGGTGTTATGCAGTCATCAGAGCATCAGACTAAGAACTCTGAGGCTCAGGTTCAAATTCCTGCCCAGGCTCAAAGCATGCTGAGTCATTTTCTCCCTCCCTCCAGCCTACCTCAGGGTTGTAAGGGGGTGCACAGTGAAGGGGTGAGATACATATGCCACTCTGATCTCCTTGGAGAGACCGAGGGTATTTTCTCAAGCGACACAATAGATTTCTGCCATTTGCATGCCTGCCACTTAGCTTTGTGTTACCACTGATTGCAGTGTTTGAAGCCATCAGCAGAACCCTTGCAAGAAAGCACCCACTTGTTGCCTCTCTTCCACAGAGACACCTCTCGCCCGAGGATTTCCTGCGCGTCTTTGAGACGTCACCAGAAGAGTTCAGCAAGCTGGCCCTGTGGAAGCGGAATGAGTTGAAGAAGAAAGCCTTCCTCTTCTGATCCTCTCTGAGCCAACGGGCTCAGTGTGAACTCCATGTGTGTCACGCCGTCTTGCATCACAGACGCTTTAGGGCTACGACTGAGCTGGTTCTAAGGAACTTTCCCTTTCTTTTCCACGCACCCCACTGGCTGCAGAGGCCACTCCGAGCCGGAGTCTGGTAGAAGGCCGAGGGAAGCAGGCTCAGAGGAGAAGAGTGAGAGCCTGGCCTTCCCTGGGCAGGGCACGGGACATGGCCTGCATAGGCACGAGGAATGGGGTAGAAGGGGGGGGGGTTGTACTGTGCCCTCCTTTCAGGTCCAGCAACGTTTGACAGGGCTCATCAGAAGCTTCGACCAAACCCAGCCACCCTCGGTCTGTCTTTTGCTCACAGGCATCCAGGGCAAGACAGTCACACTTGACTCTGGGAGCAGAAAGGCTCAAGGGACAGACAGCAAGGGTGGCAGGTCTCATCCCACCTTCTGGACCTACCATGCCTCTGCTGGAGCGGCATCTCACCTGGGCACAATTCTTGGGGTATCTGCCACACAGCAGCACCAGCTGGAAGTTTTCAGGCTCCACTGCACCTCAAAACCTTAGTCTTTGCTAACCTTCTGCCTTTCCACGGAAAGTGTCACTGGTCTCCTCCCACCCCGTCCAGACTGGGCTGTGATGCTTTCATGCTACTTACAGAAACAATCCTTCGCCTTCAGCAGTGCCCTGCAGAATGAATGAGGGAAAAGTGTCCCTAGTGCCAGGCCACACTCCAGCAGACAGGCAGGCAGGCACATGTGCTAGCTGCCACCGGCTCCTCCTGCCTTCCTTGCCCTGGTCTTCACTCACCTGCCTCCTGCTTCCTCTGTCCTTCCACACTTGCCGTTTCTGCCTAGCTCCCCGGCCTGCCAAGTTAGCCCTGGCCTTTGCCCCCTTCCGTAGATGCTTCCATCCCCATGGCCTGTGCCTTCAGCTCAGTGTTTCAGCTCTTGGAAACAGCACTCCCCTGAGCTTGCCTTCCGCTCCCCTCCAGCTTTCAAATGCCGCCACTGTTTCCTGGGCTGTCAAAGCAACTCAAGAGAAGGCAAAGAGTGCCCCGAGCCAGAGGCTGCCGAGGATCTTTGCCAACACGTGCTTGAGCTTCTGCAAGAGATCTTCCTTACCTTGTTGAGAATTGGTTGCTGCACTGTCTCTTTAGCCTCTCTAGCGCCTCAGCCCCCCACACACCAGCAATGGCAGCATAGCTGACAGCTGGCCAGCCTCAGCCTCCTGAGCCACGCTGCCTGGTAGCAGACTACTGCTGGGTTCAGCTTAGTCCAGACGAGTCAAAGGGAAGGGTGGTGAAGGCAAGGAATGAAGGTCTCAAGCCCGGCCCTTTGCCTCTTTTCCAGCCTCCCTTGTTACTCTTCATGCACAGCCCGGGAGTGCTAGAGGGTATTGCATTCCAAGCATGACCATGTCAGATTCTACCCAGAAAGGGCTTGAGCAGAGGCACTGTTTTGCCTTCCCGTCTACATGGGGACAGGCTTGCCTCTGAGCCAAGCAATTGCAGGCTTTGGGGCAGGCAACAGCTCTATGAGGGGGGAGGTTAGAGTTTAAGAGGCACTCCTCCCTCTGCAGATGTTTTCCCACAATGCCCTCCAGAACCTTCTCTACATGGGCTTGCACATGACCTACTTCAGAAGAGAACCAGGTGATACATGGGAAACAGCTGAGCTGCCAGAGGCTTCTTTTCATCCCATCCCCCCCCCCCCCAGACATGCCAGGGTTAGGACAGGTGAACACAAGTCTGACAAAGGGCAGAGAGGGCAGCTGAGAAAGGTACCAGGCAGAAGGGAAAAGGTCATCTCACTTGCCAGCTGAGGGACATTCACAACAGCAAACCAGCTCTAGCCCTGCAAGGATCTCTTCCAAGTCCTAGACCCATCCTGCCCTTCCACCTGAGGTTCCTTTTTAATGCGACAGAAAGGACTGTGTGCAAAGATCCACAGAGCATGATCCTGGGGATTGAGGTGGTGAGCTGGAATTAAGCAGGTCTCTCTTTCCGGATATCTGCAGCAAAGGAGGACTTACGACTTTCCACTGGGTGGCAGGAGACTCACTACAGAGCAGGTCTTTGCCTGGGTGGGGGTGGGGAAATCAGTCCTGCTCTTGCAATCCATCCACCACCCCCCCCCCC